GCATTGCCTAAATACACCAGCACAGAGAAGTAAAAGCTCCTCCACATGAGTCGTGGGGTGGGCAAAGAGATCTCTCCAACTCTCAGCCCCTTTCTTGAAGAGAAAGAGGATCAGAAGTTCCTCTCTCACCCTCTCTACCACCCATCAACTTCAACCAAGGCCTAACTACTGTGCCCTTTCAGAGACAGATGCAGCTTGTGCCAGGGCCTCGGCCATGACACATTAGCCTTATGGAAGATGGGCTCCCTGGACCCCAGGTAGAGTTGTTCTGGGTGTGCTATGGTACGCAACCTTATATCAGGGAATCCATGCCCCCCAGCTCCCATTATCCTTGCCTGTTCTCAGTTCTCCTAAAATATAATGGTCCCCACCTCTTAACTCCTAGTAAGAGGCACAATAGCTCAACAGTTTATGATTCCGTCTCGAAGTTCAATGATTTCTTTTCAGTAGAGGACCAGACTCTGGACGGGGGGGCTCATGGAGAGCCTTGAGCCTTAGCTCAACTGATTTTACCTTAGACTAATTTTATTTTCTGTGCTACAGCTGTCATAAATATTTTGGCTTTGTCAGAATAATTCCTCATATGTCTTAAATGCATAGAAGTGTTTTAAGTGGAAATAAATATCCAGGTCCCAGCCACACTGTCAAAGGGGCTGATGTTGATTTTTGAAAACACTTCAGATTCCCTTCTAATGTTTTCAGGCCACCTGGTTCCAGTTTCACCTCGAGTGTTGACTGTTCATTGAGAAAATGGCTTCTGAGGCAGTCAAGGAGTGGTATATAAAAGCCTATGAAGAAAATGTCTATGATATATCCAAAGGTAGTGGAGGGAGACCATGGCAGATTTGAGTTTACCTCAAACATGAAGTGGGCCATTCAGCTTGCTTCGGGTTGGGGCTTCTGCGTTTTACTAAATTCTCAAACTTTAATTTATGCTATTATGAGGAGGTGCCAAGATTTGTGGTTCCTCAGATTTCAGAGCAAAGTCAAGTTTCAGTGAGGCTTCTCTGGAGCCCTGGGAAGATCCCTGAGGCATCTCCACCGGAACACATCAGGCCCCTTTGGGAAATGTGGCCTTCAGATCCTCTAGGCCTTTGGAGTCTGTACCTCAGTAGGGTAAATTCAGAGGCCTGCTAAGTACTCACTCCTCTACCAACCCTTCCAGCACCTAGCTGGTGAAGATGGAATTTAGCTTTTAGCTACAAGGGAAATTGGTGGAACTGATGAATCTTTAATACTAAGCATTCAACATTTTAACTCCCTTCCCTGAATTAAATTTTATTTACACATTTAAAATACTTAATCTTTGTTTTAAAAAAGAATTGCATGCACACAACTCACACACACACACACACACACACACACACACACACACACACACTGGGAAGGAAAGAAACAAGAGGCTATCTAGGCCTTATAGCTGGAAATATTTCCCCATCTGGTGAGGCACACAGAGGCAGTGGTGCCCAGAGTCCAAGCTCCCTGTCCTGAGTCTGTATTCAGAGGTTTGCCTCCTGAACAAAGGCAGAAGCCACACTGAGACCTCCGGTCCAGAGGGTTGGGGAAAGGAAAAAACAAGCTTTCTCAGACCCAGGCCCTAAGAGGACAAGTGGAAAAAAAAAAAAATATATTATATATATATATAGAGAGAGAGAGAGAGAGAGAGAGAGAGAGAGAGAGAGAGAGAGAGAGAGAGAGAGAGAACCATGAAATCATCATACCCTATTCCTTTAATCTAGGATAGGAAGATATTTATGGAGACCGCTTCCCAAAGAGAATTAAATTATTCTAAGTGTAAACTCTTATCTGTCAGTTCAGCAGTGTGTTTCAAGTGTGTCGCCTGTGCTGATCCACACAAATACAAAGATGGTGGTGTTTCACGCCCTAGCCGAAGTGCTAGCAGAGACTTGGAACCCTGAGGAAATTGATAAGAAACAAATGTCAGAAAGAAATGATGCTGAATCCTGAGGGCTCAACATTCCCTCTCAGAAAGATCAATGTGTCCTTGAAATGGTGCAGTCCACTAGGGCCTCTTGGCTAAGAAAGAGATTTTTAAACCAAAAAAGAACAGTTAAGTCTGACATTCTGCCGGCTGCTAGCTTAGAGGGCTGCGGGGGGAGCTTTGGAGGCCTGGGGGTTCTCCCCAAGGAAGGCTGGCTGGGGAGGCTTCCCGGATGCCGAGGGGTGGAGGAGAAAGCTAGAATCGTTGTAAATATTCATGTCTGCCCTGGCGGGCGGGAGATAGAAGCCAGTGTGCCCCATCTCGCCTCTCCCAGCTGCATCCACCCCTTGGGGAGAGGGGGGAAGGCGCCTGTCCGACTGTCCTTGGACAAAGGTGATCTCCCCACATTTTTGTTTTCCAGCCCTTTGACTTAAGGAGTCCTTTCCGAAGGCTCTGCAGGGAAGGGACTTGCTCTGGGTGTTTTCCCCCGCTTTTCTCGTCTTTCGTTTCCTAAAAGAGCATAAATAATTAAAGTTTGGCAGGGAGGAAAAGCTTTCTTGCAGAACTGTAGTGGCAATAAATGAAATGACTCAGAATCCCTTCCCCAGTCAGCTTTTACGAGAGCTGCCAGACAGTGTCTGTTCACGCTCTCCAGATACCAGGGGCGCCCTGACAAAGTTAAGGTCAAGTTAGTGTCTTATCTTGGGTGGCTCAAAATCACCGCATCGTTTCTCGGCGCTGCCCGGAATGCTGTCGCTGGAGGAGCTGCTCGCTGCGCCCCGAAGGCCTGGTCTGTTCCCTGCGTTTCGGGTGGGGCCGCACAGGCAACGACAAGGCCACAGCACCAGGGTCTTGACGGTACGTTTTCCAGCGGAATGCGCGGTCGGGAGGCGGTGGTTTTCCCCTGGATTTTCGGGGTGAGGACCAAGCAGGGAGCTGGGGCTAAAGAGCGATGCGGTCTGGGCCCGAAACGAGTGCCCTGGGCTGGGGAGGGGGCGGTGACCAGTGTCCACGCCAAGGCTCTGGAGGGGCCCATCACCCCTCTCCCCTGTGCACCGGCGCGCTGCTGCAGAGCACGGACCCTCCCCTCAAAGCGCGACTCCCGCCGTCGCCGCCGTCGCCATGTCGTTGAACTTGAATGGTTCGTCCTCTCCATTTCCCTTTTCTGCGGTCAGCAGGCTTCACTTTAGGGGCGGTTGGCTGCCTGCGTCCCACTCCGTGCGGCGAGCAGAGAGAAGGTGCGAGAATTTTTTGCAATCCCCAGACACAGCAAGACCCGAGTGGGGGCCCCCCGCCACTGCCCTGGGTCCTGAGCGACCGCGGGGCCAGTGTGCAGAGTCCGGGGAGCCATTTTAGGAGAGGTCCAGGGGCGTCGACCAGGAATCCGAAAGCAGAGGCTTGGGGCTAGGATGGAGATGGGGAGGCAGATAAGTGTGCCGGGGTCTGGGCTGCGGAATGTGGGTGGGGGTGCCCGCTGCAGGGAGGGGGCACTCAGTGTGGACAGTTGGGGTGGGAGAAGGTTTGGTACCCACCACTTGCCTCAGACCTGTTTGCGCAGTGTTGGGGGAGGGAAGCAGATGCGGGAGGGGCGGAGGAAAGAGAGGAAGGAAGAAAAGGAGGGAGGAGAAAAAGGGAAGGGGGATATCAACCAGAAAATAGATATTAGCTCAGACCACCCGCCTTTTCTCTCTCTGTCGGCGGTGGGTGGGGAGCACAGCACCGGCACTGCGGCAGCCTGGTCAGGCCCGGGAGGGGACACAGTGTAGCCCCCAGCCCTGAGCAAAGGACCAAGGCCCAGTCTTCAGTGCTGGGCTGCCTGGGTAGGGGATCCTGGGTACCAGGGCAGGCTCTTGCCCTTGGATCTGGGATTGAGGTTTGAGGAGAAAAGCGCCAGCTGTCCCTGAGATGGGATCCCAGGCCTGGCCTGGACCCCTGGGCTAGGAGAGGGTTGCAGCAGAGGGAGAACAAGGCCTTAGGGAGAGTGATGGGATCCTAGAGAATCTGCCTCAGAGCCCGGCGGTGTTAGGGGCTCCAGTGGGGAGCCCTTGGAGAGCCGGCAGACCTCCGAGGGACCTGCAGTGACCATGCAGACCCAAGGGCGCCAGAGGAGCCTGGTAGAGACGCCGTGTGCATGCGCAGGCCTGGGCCGCTCTCCGGTGTAGCGGTGAAGGAACTGGGTGTGAGACAGACTGGTCCCAGTCCAATCCTGAAAGCAGAGCCGGGTGAGGCGGGCAGAGGTGCTATCGATGTGTCCCCCAAGGGAGGGAAGCAGGAGTCCGAGCACTGTGTGGCAGAACTCCAGGTCTCTTTGTTCAAAGGAACCTCATCTTTTAGGGAGGCCGGGACCTTGGCGTCTTCGCTGTCAGAGCTCTCTCCTCTCTGTACTACTGAGAGTAAATAGAGAAGCTACAGGGAAAAAGACAGATAGTGACACGCAACCTAGCGGAAAGAAAGTGAGAAGATGAGGGGACACACTGAGAAAGCGGGAAAGAGGAGGAAGAAAGAAGGGAAAAGAAAAGAAGAGAGTGAGAGAGAAAGAGAGAGAGAGAAAGCCTGAGGAGTAAGGGATGAAGGAAGAAGGGAGAGAGGAACTAAGAGGGACACTGGAGGAGGAGAGGGAGCAGCGGAGGCCCTGGCCTCGCTAGCGCCTGGGGAGGAGTTTAGCGGGGGTTTCAGTGCCAGCAGCACTTACTACCCGGAGGTCAGATCTGGGGAGAGCCAAGTTACTCCGAGGTAAACGTGCTGGGCAGAGAAATATGTAAATCAGGGCTCCTTGGCGCCTCGGAGAGTGGCGCAATTGCGCCCCTTGAACAAGAAGCAACAAGCTCCCGGGTGAGCTGCCGAGGGTGTCGGCGTCGCGGGGGAGGGAGCGGTGGCAGGAAAGGGGGTGGGAGTGGGAACCTCACACCCTCACACCTAGTCCCCAGTGCCCGGCCAGGGCTCCCCCTCTGCTCGTCGCTTCTTTCCCTTCCCCCTTCCTCCCCCTCCCCCCTCCCTCCTCCTCCCAGTCGGTCTAAGTCCGCGTACTTAAAGCGGCGCGGGCGGGCGAACGCGGGCGGGCGGCCCATTCGGGCGGTGGCAGATGCGCCCAGCGGTGGCAGTCACTGACGGAGCGCAGGTGACCGGCCTGCGGCGCAGCTCAGCCAGGAGACGCCCAGGGAGAGCAGGCGCGAGAGGGAGGCAGATCCACCCCCAGTGTGCGCTCGTCTCGGCGCCAGGAGCCGTCCCGGGGCGTGTTGGCGAGAGCTGATATAGATATAAGGACATTTCTCTCCATGGCGTCACGTGACATAATTACCACCAGAATCAATCAAGATGAATTGCACGTCAGCGCCCGGTGGGGATTTTTGCTTAGTTGATCCTGGCCCAAGCCTCTTGTGCAATCGATGGCTCAGGTTGGCGGCGCGGGGAGCGGCCCAGGGCTTGCCGGCGTGCGCGCCGCGGAGCCATGAACGACTTTGACGAGTGCGGCCCGAGCGCAGCCAGCATGTACCTGCCCGGCTGCGCCTACTACGTGGCCCCGTCGGACTTCGCCGGCAAGCCATCGTTCCTCTCGCAGCCGTCGTCCTGCCAGATGACTTTCCCCTATTCCTCCAACCTGGCGCCGCACGTCCAGCCCGTGCGCGAGGTGGCCTTCCGCGACTACAGTCTGGAGCGCGCCAAGTGGCCGT